CCACATGCCTTTATTTATTATCACTTCTTCTTTGCACTGGACCTGGTTGCCTCCTTTTTTGCTCTCCTCTGCCTATGAAGTCTTTAGTTTGCCCTTTTGTGGATAAAAAATCTGCAAAGTGACACTGCTGCTTTAATGCCCAGAGCATTTCTGAACCACTTGTGCACTAGTGTTCCCACTGTAGAAAATTAAGGATAGTGGGATAGGATGTCAAACTCTGGACAGTTGGGAAAAACATAGTTCCATATTTGTACACTTCTACTAGAATTGTGGCCTGTAATGATGAAGGCAAAACTGTCAGATTTCTGGGAAAATTAAATATTTATATGCATTGTGCCAGTTTTTATATTTATTGATAAGCGAATTTACTTTCTAAGAAGAGCAACATTCTTTCTCCAGGACAGAACGAGTTGCTAAGGAATTCATATCTAATTTCAACCGATGGATAGGGCTACTCAATGTAACAAATTAGTTTCAGGCTGAAACACTACACATAAAGACTCCTACCTGCATGACCATTTCAAAAAGCAGAAGTGGTCATGGTGGCTGCAGTAACCATTTAAGCTAAAGTTGTTTTGGTGCTTCTAGTATCCCTTTAAGTTAACTGGCATCATAATATTTCAATATGCATCTACTTTCATGTTTGAGGATACATGGGGGTATAATTTCATCCCAGTAAAGTGCTGCTCAATATGATAGAACTTTATAAACAATAATGAAATGAGTAACATTCTCATTGATGCTAGACAGATTCTGGGCTGTGAAGAGCAATACAATATTTTCAGAAAAATCTGAAAAACAGTTTTACAATGGGCTTGTTGGTTCCTAGCTGTCAGGCCTTCATCGTTGTTTGGTGACCCAAGAGGTTTTAAGTCTTTGTGTTCTCTTAGAATTTGGATTTTATGGTTATACTGGTAACTGACAATGCACTACCATTGTTTGACAAAGCACTGTCTGTCACTACTCTTTTGGGGGACAGAGTGTAAAGGTCCATGAGGTATATGCCAATGTTTAAAGGGCCACTTAAATTCTAATCAAGTCACAATATGTCATAAGACAAAATAGACAAAAAGTCACAATATATCATAAGACAAAAAGACAGAGCTACTGTTTTTAAGCTTTGTCAAGTCATTACTAGTAATAGTGTTGTACTCTTTTGCATGCGTGAAAGTACAGCCAAGGCCAGCCTTAGGCCTACTGGCACACTGTGCGGAAAATCTTTACAGCACTCCTTCCTGGCTATGTCTACTCTCTGACCACACCCCGTCACCCCAGTTCCTACCGATGTTCAAAAATTCCTATTCTTCTTTACACCAAAACAAAAGAGATTGGCAAGGTTGATGAATTTTAAATTTTTTACTCACAGTTATTAAACTTGTAAGTGCACTATCAGTACAATTATTAAACTAACATACTAACATATTATGGGGCAGATATACAGCCGTGAAAATTAAAGTGTCAGAATGTCATGTATTACAGACCCCTTTCTTTCAAGTAAGTGGACATAGAAATGTATAGCGTCTGCTTGTATGTGCACGCCTTAGGGCTGTAGAAATTGTGTGCGTGTCTTAGACAAGAGTCAGCAACCTTTTTCCACATGAGGGCCAAATGCTAGGTTTGTAAGTAGCTGGAGGGCTACCTTCCTCTATAAACCCTGTGATAAAATGAGATGGCTCCCTAATTTGGTATCCTTTTGTGGGATTGCCATATTTAAGGATTGCAAATTAGGGAGCTATCTACTAAACAACTGAAAGATCAAAATTAAAAGGGTCTTTTTAATTTGGATCTTTGAGTTGTTGATTAGAAAATTCCATAAATTACTATCATTATATGGGATTTACATATTTAAGGATACCAAATATGTGAGCTATTTCCTAGAACAGGGGTAGGCAACCTTTTAGCAGCGCTGTGCCAAAATAAGATTGTGATGTCCCGTAGCGTGCCAGGTCCTATTTTTTTTTAAATTGAGGTTTGTATGTTGCCGCATTCTGCTTGTGTTGTTTATACTGCAGTTGCTTTGTATCGTTGTATTTGTGTGTATATGAGCTATTATAATGTATATGTTCATGAGTAGTTTGTGGTAGCGTGTCCCTATGAATGTGGGCTGTGTATGGGGGCTGCTTGTGAAATTGTGTATTTGTGGATGGAAATGTCACATAGTGTGTTTGGTGGTGTGTGTATGTGTGGGGCTGTTTGGGGTATTGTATGTAAGAGCCTGTATGTGGGGTTGTGTGCATGTATGTGGATTGTTAGTTGGGTTGCATTTGTACAGATTTTGTGTATGTTTTTTTTTAAAATTCTTTATTTTTTTCAGTGGATAAGATAACACAAAGGCTTACGATGCAACGACAGCAGAATAAGGCAATGATATCAAATGTAGAAGATATACATGGCATGAGAAAGTGGCACAGTTTTTAAATATAATAATACACAGGCTAGCCGTGTTTGTCTATTTAGAAGTCACAGGAGTAGAAATACATGCAATAAGAATAGTAACGAAAAGAAAGGTAACGATTTAAACTTCGCTTAATATGTGTTAGCACGGTTAGCACAAGATTAATTAGCAAAATTATTGAGGCATATACAAAGCTAGGATGAAAGACATATGAAGTACCACAGCATTTGTTATTAATCTACTACACTCAAGTACCCGTTAGTGGTAGGAGCAAAGTGGGGGTCTGTGGCTGAGAGACTATATATTAATAGGCATATAGTGGTAAGTGGTGTCCATCAGGGTTCTGTTTTGGGACCACTTCTATTTAACATATTTATAAATGATCTTGAAATAGGCATTGAAAGCCATGTATCAGTGTTTGCAGATGACACAAAACTTTGTAAAGTAATAAAATGTGAGCAGGATATTGCTTTGCTGCAGAGGGATTTGGATAGATTGGGGGACCGGGCACTAAAATGGCAGATGAAATTTAACATAGAGAAATGCAAAGTTATGCACTTTGGGGTTAAGAATGCACAAGCAATTTACACCCTAAATGGTAGTGAATTAGGGATAACCCCACACGAAGGATTTGGGAATTGTTATAGACAAAAAAATTAGGCAGCAATATGCAATGTCAATCTGCAGTTGCTAAGGCCAGTAAGGTTTTGTCATGTATAAATAGGGGCATAAATTCTCAGGATGAAAATATAATTTTGCCTCTTTATAAATCGCTGGTAAGACCACACCTTGAATATGCTGTGCAATTTTGGTTGTAGCTTAGCAAGGGGTCGCCAAGACTGCACAGAGCCGGTCCATGCGTGTCAGCAGCTCGCCACTGTGGTGTGCAGTGGTGTATCCTGATTTTGTGCTGTCCTAGGCAAAACTCAGGCGCCCCCCCCTCCCCCGCGCCACCCCCACCCAACCCTTCCCCTCGCCCCACCTTCTAAATGCACACACACACAGTCAGACACACACACAGTCAGACACAAACACACAGTCAGACACACACACACAGTCAGACACAGACACAAACACACAGTCAGACACACACACACACACACACAGTCAGACACACACACACACACAGGCTGCCGGTCGGGCTGATGGGCTGGCTGCTGGGCAGGCGGCTGGCGTGGGAGCTCTGAATCTGAATATGATGTCATATTCCGGCTCCCAGCCTCAATCTGCGGCGCGCGAGGGAGCTGAGCAGACCGCAAAGAGGAAGTGCTCCCTCGCCAGTCGCCCGCCCGACCATCAGCCAGCGCCGCCCGCCAGCCCAGCATGTCAGTTAGCCGCAAGGCTAAGGTAGAAAATAAACCATAGAGTTAGCTGAATGTAAACCAAACGTAACATCCACAACAATGTCCTCCATTTGTGTCCATGCCCCTGTCCCCTCCTGTGTACAAGATTTCACCTTGTGTCCTTGTCCTACGCAGTGTCCATGTCTCTCGTGTATCCATGTTTTGTCTATATCCCCCATATGGCCAAATCCCCCTTTATGACCCGTTTTCTCCTAGTGTCAATGTCCCCTATTTGTTTCCTAGGCCCCTATCCATTCCTATGTATATGAGCTCACTTTGTGTCCATGCCCCCCCACCCCATGTGACCATATCTCTCTTGTGTCCATGTCCATCCCATATTCCCTAATGTACACTTCCCCTTTTGTGTCCATGTCTTTCTTGTGTCCCCATTGAGTCCATGCCCTCCTTAATGTCCATACTCCCTCTTTGTGTAGATGCCCTCCTCATGTTTGTTCTCATCTGTGCCCTTATCTCCCACAGTAACTCCATCTCCTCAGTTTTGAAGCCTGACTGAGCAGCATGGGAGTGAGAGTCCTCCTGAGACCTTGCATGCCTTGCCAGGACTCTTTAATCAAGAGCTGTGTGGAGGGGACTGGGCTATAAAGTGTCTCTGTTGGTACACACAGCACCCAGCATCACAGTGTCCTGACAGAGCATGCAGGGCTCAGCCTACCAGGGTACTTGAAAAAAAAAAAAAAATTGTAAAAAACTTTTAATTCCTGGCCTGGAGACTATGGGTACAAGAGGAGAGGGAGTCTGACACCTCTAGTATCTCCGTTGGATGCCTGGTGCCCCTGTTGCTATGGTGCCCTGAGTACAGCACGGACGTGGAATCCTGGCAGATGAAGCACCAGGAGCTGAAGGGTACCTTGTGGAAGATGATGGATCATACACCCCGATGCCACATCGCTGCAAGGTGCAATGTCACCATCTGGGGTCTTTTAAATATATGCAAAGACCCCACAAGGTGACAGCTGCTTTAATTAATTCCTATTGCCAAAAATCGTGCTCCCCATAAGATAAAATAGTCTCTACTTTTTCATATGTATAGCTGAAAAACTAAAGTTTATTTCTAAAAAGAAATACAGGGACATAAAAGGATTAATCTAAAAACCTGCAAGGTGCTCTAGTTTCTAAGTTCGTTTGAACAGCGTCCACATCAAACCATTGTTCCTGTCAAAATTTGTAAGAGTTTTTCAAATTTTTGTTACATTCAGCCCCTGTATAATATTGTACAGCGCTGTGGAATAAGATGGCGCTATATGAATGGCAATAATAAAAATAATAACTGCAGTGGCTCAATATCTACTACAGTAGCTTTTTAAAATTCATCATAATATGACTATGCAAGCTGTGTAAACTTCACGCAGCTGATTCTTATAAACTCGTCCATCATATACAGTTTTAATTAAGGACCTGGGGCAATATTTATAATTAATACAGGATTGGATTGTGCATTTTATCCCAGCTTGCCCGTCAATGTGGCAACCCCGAGGAATAGTTTTATCTTTGCTTTTATTTTTCTAACAAATAGTATAATTAATTCATGTCTGTATTAAGCATAGACAATTCCTAGCAGGAGAATCATCACATATTTTTGGACATGACTAGCATCTACAGACAGTGGCATATTACCTAAACGGTGAATTGGCCAAAAATACACAAACTAGAAAAAAAAACAATTCAACAACTGGCTATTTTTTTATTATCTGGTTTAGCAAATAACCCCCTCAATAATGAATTTAGTTGTAGGGTCTGCTTGTGAGTTATGATTTCGACAGATACCTGCACAAAATGTGTTCTAATTAACATTTGATCTGATAATAAAAATAACACTCCCACGTCTACAAGGAAAGTTTTGAAGCTTATTGATATTTAACATATTTCAAAATAAACCTTTTTACTTTAGAGTTTGCCAAATTCCTTAATGAAAAATAAAAAATGACTGTAAAGAGTTTTAAAGTTCACTTTGGGTATATTTTGCACGATTTCATTCACGCTCCCCTCCCTATGGTATATGACTAAGATGGGGAGTGAGCATTAAAGGAGATATTAAAGGAAAAGTTCTCTCACAAATAGCTGAATTAAGTTCTACTTTGATTCCCGGAATATTAACAAAGAAATCACAATGTAACTATTTAGTAGCTATTTAAGAATTAGCAGTCCACGGCAGGTTTGTGTCAGCTTTTAAAAGCATTTTACTTTGAATGATATATCAAGCCATATCTCCTAAAAAGGGACTGACACAGCTGAGAAAATACAAGTAAATAGTTGTTTTGCATTTTCAAATTTAAGGCTAAAATAGCCAAAAATTCTCCAACTCAGCTACGCTTACCGCTGGGCTTTTTAACCTGCAAATTTACCAAACAAATGGACACACGTACCACATGTGGCCCATAAATATTCTTTCACTCAAAATGAATTACAAAATTACAGGTGATGATAAATATCATAATGAGTCATCAGCACATAGCCTTTGTCATTTAATAGGGGCAAAAATGTGGTTAGAATTGACCACAATTCAGTGAGAGAGAGATAAAGCCTTCTGTTTTGGTATTGTTTATTATTTTATGACTCAACAGTTCATTTATAAAATTCTCCATAAACAGCCCATTATAAATATAAGGAATTATTGTGAAATTGGCAGATGGGTTTTACTCTCAGCCTGTTTGGACATTTCGGATTTTCCTTGCTCATACGCTAGTTGCAGCCTCTGCAGTCCTCTCGCCATAAATGCTGCCTGCTCATCTCCTCCGAAGTGTATGATCCACTTTCTTAGCTCCTCGGTAGAAAACAGGGTAGTCTGGGGCATGTCAGTTGGATTTATTCTTTGAATTCCTAGATCTGATAGAGTTCTTGCAGGAAGAACAGGCAAAGAACACACTTTATTTTCCATCGGCTCTGCATGCACAAACAGAACAAACAATTGATGGACAATTTAATAGCAAATTCAAAAAGAAAATAACAAAAAACAAACTACAAATGAAGTTTATTCACTAACGAGTGTGCGCTGATCTCTGAACAGAACAACAAAAAATAAAAACCTCTATTGAAGCTCTACCTGTCTTCCTGGAGTCATAACCGGAGCTGCTAGACGATACAGATGATGTGAAGTATTGATCACTATATCCACCGTTGAAATGACAGGAAATCAGCTTTCTGGAATCTGAGGACTGGACAGATGCATTTTGGTTTAACTTTGCTGTTCTAGAACTGCCTCCTAAACCAGTACAATGCTAAAAAATTAAAAAAAAACTAAACAAAAAAACAAAGTACAGTAAAGCAAAAAAGAGTAATAATGGAAAGCCTTGTTTGTTCTAAAAGTTACACAGCATACATTGACAGCAACTACACTCTTAAACCCACCCTTTAAAGACACAGAAATGATTGGTGGTACATCTCTTAATCATTTTGTAAGTAAAGTCACACAGTAAGATTTAAAGGGACACTATAGTCATCAGAACAACTACAGCTTAATGTATTTGTTCTAGTGAGTACAATAGCTCCCTTCATTAATTTTCCATGTAAACACTGCCTTTTCAGAGAAAAGGCAGTTTTTACATTGCCCCTATTGACACCTCCAAGTGGCCACTCCTCAGATGGCCACTTGAGGGGCTTCCTGGCTCAGGGCATGGAGATGCTGAATTTTCCTCATGGAGATGCATTGAGGTCCTGATTGGCCAAAACAGCATTTGGACCCGCGCAGCGCTGGAAATAAGGTGAGTTTTCAACTTTTATGGGGAGCTAAGGGGGGGCAAGCCACCTCAAAGGTGGGTTTAGCACTACAGGGTCAGGAATACATGCTTGTGATCCTGACCCAATTGTGATTCTTGAAATAATGATACCTCTCCCAAAAGCCAAGGTGCAGCCTAATATCAACACATCTAAACATGTTTATGCAGTAAAAGATCAAACAAGACGCAGTATACAGACACATTTGGGATCTTAATAAGAGATAAACTAGATTCTACAGATTGTCTTTCTGAGATGCCATAGTTACATGAAAATCTTTATTCCCTTCTTTTCGTTGTAATTATACCATCATTATTCACTACAGTGTGAATTGTGACAAGTCAATCTCTGCTGAGAGGTGCGTGCGTTTAATACAAATCTACCCTTTATCTGCATGAAACGATAAATTATTTAACCAGGAAAAAGAATTTTGTATGTGAGTTAACTCTGCTGGGAATTAGGCCTGGAATCCAGTTGGGAAATTGATACTACTTAAAATAAAATAACTAGATAGGTCTGTTGTCTTTACTTTTGTAGCTCTGGGCCAAGTTCTTATGGGGTCTTAAATAATCTATATGACCAATGACAAACTCTTTAGTGTAGACTATGAGATCTAGAATAGTTTGCGAGCTCTACGCTATTTTAATCAGACTTTTGTTTAATTTCCCTGTTTGAACAGAATTTGGTAATCCCTAAATCTTTAAACTATTTGTGGGTTTAAGGACTGGTTTAAATGATTTACACCAGCGATGCCCAGCCTCTTTAGCAGGGTACACAGAATTCCTGTAAAAGTAATTGCCAAGATTTAGACCATTTCAAATATTAAAGTGTATAATATTCACTATTATTCCTGTTGAAAGAATTCATATCGGAGTAAAACATATTTGTTTTACCTTTTCTGGTTTCCTTGATTTTTGTTGTACGTTTTGCTTGTTCTTCCCTGCCTTACTAGTGGCACTGGGCAGGTAGCTTTGTGGCAGCCACACAGGGACAGCGTTACTTTCCACGGATTCTTTCTTTCCTTCATTAATACAGGCCCTACACGCAGTACAAGTTCTCGGCCTCAGACGTCTCTGTAAATGCTGCGTTGGATTTGAATAACTATGAACCGTGAGGTTACTGAAAAACAATCACAGAATCTGCTGAACATCCAAAGACACATTATGGCAGATCCACTTTAAATCCATTATTTATGTATGATTATTATAGGATAGAATTCAAACAAGCACATGCCTTGCAGAATGAATTCCTTTGATTGCATGAGTTAATTCCTTTGCAATTTGTTATTAATTATTAAAAAGATTTGAAAGATTTTTTTTGTTAAAATGTTATTTGCAATTTTTTGTGTTAGTTATAGGAAAGCCCTACTTTCCAGGATAGGATTGCTGGTATTGAGTTTTCTGATTAGTAGCGGTGTATGCAATCTTATTTTTCTAGTATTCACATTTTCCGCTAAATAACATTCAGGACAAATCCTGGAATCAAAGCACGTCCTGTTTTCTTTCTGTAGTAACATGTGCTCTGATATTTCTCTTGAAATAAGTTTGTAATTTTCCAAAAAGAATATCCCAATACTGGATCTCCGGCTATTGGCAAACTACAAGTTCCATGAATTTTTGGTTACTGCTTGCAGTGTTTTTTTTTTTTGTCTAGCAAATGTTCATGGGAATTGTAGTTCACTAATAGTAGTATATATTTGTTAAACTACAAATTGTAGTGATTTGAAAATCGTTTTGATAAAATGATATACCTAATGCATAAAACATACATTAAAAAAAAAAGGATAATAAAAATATATTTTGACGGTCGAGTGTTGCCACATTTTTGACACCTGTCAGCCGTTCCTACCTTCCCATTATTTACACTGGGAGCTGAATATATTCCATATCTTCTTGGCCAACAGTACATCCATTCATCAGAATATATATTTTATATTTCGTAGTAACTGCTGACATTATAGATACTCATTGAATAAGAGATCACAATTGCAAATGCTTGTTCAGAGAAATCTGTTACGACGGTGGCACTTAGGAACAGGAATGATAAAAACCAAAAAAGGAAAATGATTAAAATGTCACATTGTGTTCTAGAATGAACATACAGTGATTGTTCAACCTTTTTTATACTTTTAAAACTACTACAAAAACCCAGTGCCTGCAGCCAGCTGTCTCAGCTGAGTGTGTGATAGAAAAAAGGAATTTCACGATGACACTAAAGTCAGCTGCAAGCTATCTCTATACCTGTTTGTGTGATGTTGATCTGACACATGTTTGAAGCCTCTCTGTTTGTTTCCTGGTCTTCCGTAACACTTTAGAAGTTGCTTGGCAGATGTGTAATTAATATAGCTGTACTTTATGTCACCTGCTCTCTGTGACATTCCTGGAAAAGAGTCAGAAATATAACAACAAATAAATAATCTGCAGGTATAGTAATAAGTGCACCTAATTTATTGAATTACCTTTCATTGAAAGAATGTTATTTTTAATTAATAATCTTCTAATCTAGAGCTATGGGATGCAGGGCAATGGACACACAGTGTGTTGGGGAAATCCAAGTCGTCTGGCTCTCATTAGAAACGACCTGAGGACAAGTTTTTCATCCATTATAAACTAGGCTAAGAGGTCTCCAAAGCCACTGTGCCAATACCGTAATCCAACAAGGCTAGGTAAGCCACTGTACCAATACTGACCCCCTACTTAGTATAATACTACTCAAACCCAGTGAAGGCAGGATGGGGAAAGTGCTGATAGGCTAGGGAGTATAGGAATGGAGTGACTCAAGTATGCCGTCACCATGGAGGAGGTATATACCCTGTTTTGGGAAGCGTCCCCAAGCAGGGAAAATCAGTGTAGAAAGCAAGAGGAGTGAGGGCGGACCGGAGTTGGGTGTTACAGAAGAGTAATAAAACCGTGGCAGGTGAGCGGCGGTAAGTGGCGGCACTAGAGGCAATCATACCTCATAACTCCGGAGTTGTGCGAATCCAGATGCCGGTGTTCAAGGGAAAAGGGGGCGGGCCAGTGCGGCAACTGCGTCACATACACTGTACCACCCAGAAAGGGGTCAAGTTAGCCAAAATGATTGACAGGTCAACCTGGTGTGAATGCACACACCTGCTCATCATCCAGGCCGGCCCACCGAAGGCTGACCCTGCAGGGAGCTCTTTTCAGTGCCCTCAGCATTGTGAAAGCACCTCTAACGATGCACTCACACTAAGCTTGTTGGGGACAGATCCCTAATGTCCCCTAAAAATGGGACACCACTGTTTCGTAAAAAGTCACGTATACATTAAACATCTCCCTGACAGCCACTAGAGCTGGTACGCGTACCCCCAGGGGTACAATTCAGTGCCCCAGAGGGTACGCAAAATAATTTTGCTAATGGTGGATGCGGGCTGGGAACCCGGCCATCGGGCAAATGCCCGGTTTGTCACATGATATCCCCTGTCAGCCCGAGCTGGGACAGCGCTACCCGAGCGCCGGCCCAGCTGTGTGCCTTCATGGGCCGGTGTGATCTCCCTCACTGGCCCACAGTCACTGACAGACAGGCTGGAGAGGGAGGGAGGAGGAGCCTGGAGGCAGAAGGTTCTTCCGGTGAGTTCGGCAATTTGTAGCGTTTCCGCGGGTTACCACAGCAACGCTCCGAAAATCTCGCGGGAGGACTGAACTCTGGCTGCAGGCAGGATAGAGCTGCTCACCCCCACAGGACCACCAGGGCAATGTCCCCTCTCCCTGGAGAAAAGGTAAGAAGAGGGGACATACAGTTTATTAATAATAAAATTTTTTAGTAATAATTTTTTTTTTTGAATGCATTACTCCTATTCCCACCCCCATCCCTCCCACACACACACACACACACACACAACACCCCTCTCATATACCCCTAACACACACCCCTCTCTCACACACACAAACACAGCACCCCTCACACACATCACCCCTGTCTCACACACAACACCTCTCACACATACAGAGAGAGCACCCCTCACAAACAGAGCACCCCCCTACTCACACAGAGCAATAGGGGGATGGGAAAATGTGTTGTGTGCACACACAGCACCCCTTACACACACACACAGCACCCCTTACACACAGAACACCCCTCACACACAGCACAGTGTCTGTGCCAGTGTGTGTATCTCTGTATCTGCACGTGTGTGTTAATGTGTGTATCTGTATGTCAGGGTGTGTATCCTTAAGTGTGTCATTGTATGTATGTATGGGTCTGTGTATCTGCATGTGTGTCAGTGTGTGTGTGTCAGGGTGTGTAACTCTGTATCTGTGTGTCAGGATAAGTATCTGTGCGTGAGGATGTGTGTCAGTGTCTGTATCGGTGTATCTGAACGTGTGTCAGGGTATGTATCCTTAAATGTGTCAGTGTACGTCTATATGTGTCTGTGTATCTGCATGTTTGTCAGTATACGTATCTGTGCGTCACTGTGTGTGTCTCTGTGTATCTGCATGTGTATCTATGCGTCAGGATAAGTATCTGTGCATGAGGATGTGTGTCAGTGTCTGTTTCGGTGTATCTGAAAGTGTGTCAGGGTATGTATTCTTAAGTGTGTCAGTGTACGTATATATGTGTGTATCTGCATGTTTTTCAGTATATGTATCTGTGTGTCACTGTGTGTGTGTCTGTGTATCTGCATGTGTCTCAGGCTGTGCATCCATAACTGTGTCAGTGCATGTATCTATGTGTCTTTGCATCTGCATGTGTGTATCTGTGTCAATATGTGTATCTGTATGTGTGTCAAGGTATGTATCCTTAAGTGTATCAGTGTATGTTTCTGTGTATCTGCATATTTGTCAGTATAGGTATCTGTGTGTCAATGTGTGTGTCTCTGTGTATACATATGTGTGTGTGTATATATCTGCATGTGTGTCAGGGTGTGCATGTGTCTGTCTGATACATACACTGAGACACTTAAGGATACATTCTTTGTTTCTACGTGTGTCAGGGTGTGTATCTGTGTGTCAGAGTATGTATCCTTAAGTATGTCAGAGTATGTATATATGGGTTTGTATCGGCATGTGTGTCAGTGTATGTATCGCTGTGCATCTGCATATGTGTGTGTATCTGCATGGATGTCAGAGTGTGTATCTGTTTGTCAGTGTGTGTATCTTTGTGCATCTACATGTTTGTCTGTGTATCTGCATGGGTGTCAGAGTGTGTGTCTGTGTATGTATCCATGTGTGTTTGTATCTGCATGTGTGTCAGTGTGTCAGTGTATGTATATATGTGTCTGTATCTGCATGTGTGTCAAGGTATGTATCTGTGTGTCAGTGTGTCTGTGTTTCAGGGTGTGTATCTGTATGTGTGTCTGACACACAGATACATACCCTGACACACATCCTGAAACACAAACATACAGATACATACCTTGACACACATGCAGATACACAGACATATATATATATATATATATATATATATATATAATACACACACACACTGACACACATGCAGATGCACAGACACATAGATACATACACTGAACACACACATACACTACACAAACCTAAAGATACATACATTGAACACACAGATACACACCCTGACACACATGCATATACATAAGACACATAGATACAATCACTAAACATACAGATAATGAGTATCTGCATGTGTGTGAGTGATTGTATATGTGTTTATGTATCTGCATGTGTGTAAGTGATTGTATATGTGTATCTGTATTTGTGTCAGTGTGTCTGTGCAACTGTATCAGTGTGTGTGTGGGGAGCCTGGGGCAGAGGGAAGAGCAGGGAGAGCCTGGAACAGAGAGAAGAGCAAGGAGAGCTTGAGGCTGAGGAAAATGCATGGAGAAACTGGGGCAGTGGGGAGAGCAGGGAGAGCCTGGGGCGGAGGAGAAGCAGGGAGAGCCTGAGGCAGAGGAACATGCAGGAAGAGCCTTAGGCAGAGGAACATGCAGGAAGAGCCTTAGGCAGAGGGGAGAGCCTGGGGCCAAGGAGAAGCAGAGAGATCCTGGAGCAGAGGGCAGTGGGGAGAGCAGGGAGATCCTGGGGCAGAAGAGAAGCCGGGAGATCCTGGGGCAGAGGGAAATGCAGGGAGAGCCTGGGGCAGAGGGGAGAGCAGGGAGAGCCTCGGGCAGAGAGAAGAACAGGGAGAGCCTAGGGCAGAGGGAAGAGCAGGGAGAGCCTGGGGCAGAGGGAAGAGCAGGGAGAGCCTGGGGCAGAGGGAAACACAGAGCAGGGAGAGCAGGTAGAGCCTGGGGCAGAGGGAAACGCAGAGAGAGCCTGGGGCAGAGGGAAACGCAGAGAGAGCCTGGGGCAGAGGGAAGAGCAGAGAGAGCCTGGGGCAGAGGGAAACGCAGAGAGAGCCTGGGGCAGTGGGGAGAGCAGAGAGAGCCTGGGGCAGTGGGGAGAGCAGAGAGAGCCTGGGGCAGAAGAGAAGCAGGGAGAGCCAGGGGCAAAGTCTGATTGACATGCAGGAAGAGCTTTAGGCAGAGGGAAGAGCAGGGAGAACCTGGGGCCAAGGAGAAGCAGAGAGATCCTGGGGAAGAGGGGAGAGCCTGGGGCAGAGGGAAATACTGGGAGAGCCTGTGGCAGATGGAAGAGCAGGGAGAGCCTCGGGCAGAGAGAAGAGCAGGGAGAGCCTGGAGCCGAGGGAAGAGCAGAGAGATCCTGGGGCAGAGGGAAACGCAGAGAGAGCATGGGGCAGTGGGGAGAGCAGGGAGAACCTGGGGCAGAGGGAAGAACAGGGAGAGCCTAGGGCAGAGGGAAGAGCAGGGAGAGCCTAGGGCAGAGGGAAGAGCAGGGAGAGCCTGGGGCAGAGGGACGAGCAGGGAGAGCCTGGGGCAGAGGGAAGAGCAGGGAGAGCCTGGGGCAGAGGGAAACACAGAGAGAGCCTGGGGCAGTGGGGAGAGCAGGTAGAGCCTGGGGCAAAGGGAAGAGCAGGGAGATCCTGGGGCAGAGGGAAACGCAGAGAGAGCCTGGGGCAGAGGGAAACGCAGAGAGAGCCTGGGGCAGTGGGGAGCAGGCAGAGCCTGGGGCAAAGGGAAGAGCAGGAGATCCTGGGGCAGAGGGGAAACCGCAGAGAGAGCCTAAAGGAGGGAAACGCAGTGAGAGAGCCCAGCAGAGGGAACGAGAGAGCCTGGGGCAGAGGGAAACGCAGAGAGAGCCTGGGGAAGAGGGAAACGCAGAGAGAGCCTGGGGCAGAGGGAAGAGCAGAGAGAGCCTGGGGCAGAGGGAAGAGCAGAGAGAGCCTGGGGCAGAGGGAAGAGCAGAGAGAGCCTGAGGCAGTGGGGAGAGCAGAGAGAGCCTGGGGCAGAAGAGAAGCAGGGAGAGCCAGGGGCAAAGTCTGATTGACATGCAGGAAGAGCTTTAGGCAGAGGGAAGAGCAGGGAGAACCTGGGGCCAAGGAGAAGCAGAGAGATCATGGGGTAGAGGGGAGAGCCTGGGGCAGAGGGAAATACAGGGAGAGCCTGTGGCAGATGGAAGAGCAGGGAGAGCTTCGGGCAGAGAGAAGAGCAGGGAGAGCCTGGAGCCGAGGGAAGAGCAGAGAGATCCTGGGGAAGAGGGAAACGCAGAGAGAGCATGGGGCAGTGGGGAGAGCAGGGAGAACCTGGGGCAGAAGAGAAGCAGGGAGAGCCAGGGGCAAAGTCTGATTGACATGCAGGAAGAGCTTTAGGCAGAGGGAAGAGCAGGGAGAACCTGGGGCCAAGGAGAAGCAGAGAGATCATGGGGTAGAGGGGAGAGCCTGAGGCAGAGGGACATGCAGGAAGAGCCTTAGGCAGAAGGGAAAGCAGGGAGAGCCTTGGGCAGAGGGAAGAGCAGGGAGAGCCTTGGGCAGAGGGAAGAGCAGGGAGAGCCTTGGGCAGAGGGAAGAGCCTTTGGGCAGAGGGAAGAGCCTTGGGCAGAGGGAAGAGCCTGGGGCAGTGTGAAGAGCAGGGAGAGCCTGGGGCAGAGGGAAATGTAGGGAGAGCCTGGGGCAGAGGGAAGAGCCTGGGGCAGAGGGGAGAGCAGGGAGAGCCTCGGGCAGAGAGACGAGCAGGGAGAGCCTGGGGCCGAGGGAAGAGCAGAGAGAGCCTGGGGCCGAGGGAAGAGCAGAGAGAGCATGGGGCAGAGGGAAACGCAGAGAGAGCATGGGGCAGAGGGAAACGCAGAGAGAGCATGGGGCAGAGGGAAACGCAGAGAGAGCATGGGGCAGAGGGAAACGCAGAGAGAGCATGGGGCAGAGGGAAACGCAGAGAGAGCATGGGGCAGAGGGAAACGCAGAGAGTGCATGGGGCAGAGGGGAGAGCATGGAGAACCTGGGGCAGAAGAGAAGCAGGGAGAGCCCGTGGCAAAGGAGAAGCAGAGAGAGCCTGAGGCAGAGGGACATGCAGGAAGAACCTTAGGCAGAGGGAAGAGCAGGGAGAGCCTGGGGTAGGGAAATGTAGGGAGAGCCTGTGGCAGGGAAATGCAGGGAGTGCATGGGGCAGGGAAATGCAGGGAGAACCTGGGGCAGGGAAATGCAGGGAGAACCTGGGGCAGGGAAATGCAGGGAGAACCTGGGGCAGGGAAATGCAGGGAGATTAAAACAACAATAAAAAGGCTGCGCCTATAGAAGGATAAAATAAAGTAAATTCAAGTAAAAAGTCCAACGGGATAAATAAATATAATAGGTAAAAAGTTCAACTTAAGTGTCCTTGCGAATAGTCTTTATAACAAGAAGTGCAGTAGTGAAGTCTTCATAAGCTGTATAGGTTCCACTTATATAGAAGACAAAAAAAAGGGAGAGAGAGGGACGACCAATAGTGTAGTATTGTATAATTCCAAAGGTGACGTATGAAAAGATAATATTAGAGAACTCACATTTAATAGAGCTTATGTCCAGCTCTAGGATAGAAGCGCATACAGCGGTATGATCCCCGCTTATAGGATATGCCGTGGGTATCTCTCCGTCAATGGTGTCCAATTAAATGAGGAGCAGACCGACTGCTCTTGTGTATCAGCATAGGTGGATTAATCCCCACCTCTGGATTTCTTGTTTAGAGGTGCACCAAATTTTAAATCTATTCTAACTACTAATTTTACTCGAGAATCGCCTGTAAGGGGTTTTTCTTTTTTTCCGCAGACAAAAGGCTTTTATAAATGCAAACAATGTATAGTGTGTAGAACTACAGATTCGTCCACCCCATCTAAAGTTACCCAGTTTATGTCTAATAGGACTAAAAAAAAAATGTATAATATTTATGATTTTATCGGCTGCAACAGTAAAAATTTTATCTATCTGCTCGAATGCCCATGTGGTCTCCAATATGTGGGGATGACCACAAGGTGCTTAAAGACAAGATTGAGCGAACATTGCAGAAATATTAAAAATGGATACTTAAATCATACAGTATCCAAACATTTTATTATGCATAACAAAGACCCTAAACTATTAACCCCTTAAGGACACATGACGGAAATATTCTGTCATGATTCCATTTTATTCCAGAAGTTGTGTCCTTAAGGGGTTAAAATGTATTGGTATAAAAAAATTTTCTACCCCCTGGCGAGGAGGAGACATAAAAAAATTACTTGGAAAAATAGAAATGGAATGGGTGTATAACCTTAAGACCCTTATACCCCATGGCCTCATTGCAGACTTTGACCTATACAATTTTCTGTAACAAACAAGTATTTTATATGTCTGTTTTACACAACTGCCTTTTATCTTGTTTTAAATTAAATTGCATTTTTATGTTTTATTTCATTTTGATTGTATATCAATTTTAATCTTTACTTTGTATTTACAGTAATGTGCCCCTTTTATTATATGATTATAACCAATTTTTATTTATATTAATGTGCCCTTTTTATTATATGATTATCTGTACTAAATGTTTTTACCCATTTACTTATATTATGGTCATTCTTATTACATGATCCTTTGCCCTTCCTAATATGGCTTTTACTAACTATTTGCCCTTCCCAATATGGCCATTATTCTATGTATAGCCCTTTTCTATGTGGGCTTTTGTTTTCATGCCCCTCATAATATGGCCGCGCCTATATTCAATCCACTGCCGCCATTCACGGCTTGATGACTACATTTCCCATTAGACATAGCGGCATCTCGTCCGAAAACCGGAAGTTCCGCGCGTCACGTGCGCATTTTCAATCGTTAATTTTATGCTTTTAAAACCTTCGTTTTTGTTATTAAAGTTAATTATGAGTGTCCTTACACCTTATATTTTGCTTTTATTGATGTATTTTAGAGTTTTTAAACTGCCAAATGTAACTTAATTCTGATTGGACGGATCAATTTTGGCGCCAAATTTAAACCATCTTAACCTTTATATAATACAACTAGCCAGGTATTGTATGTTATTCCATTTGAAAAAGTCTGTTGACGAAACGCGTTATGGATATTTTATACTGTGTATTTTAATATTAAAGTAATTTTTGGTCATTTTATTTGTGCCAACTATTCTTTTTTCTAGTTTTATATACACATTACCCTCCCTTTTTTTTTTAACCTGGCTTTTTAGTATGTTTTAGTATTTTATATACTATTATATACCAACATCTACTTCGGAAGTCTCCTGTATTCCAAGAAATCCAGAGGTGGGTATTAATCCACCTATGCTGATACACAAGAGCAGTCGGTCTGCTCCTCATTTAATTGGACACCATTGACGGAGAGATACCCACGGCATATCCTATAAGCGGGGATCATACCGCTGTATGCGCTTCTATCCTAGAGCTGGACATAAGCTCTATTAAATGTGAGTTCTCCAATATTATCTTTTCATACGTCACCTTTGGAATTATACAATACTACACTATTGGCCGTCCCTCTCTCTCCCTTTTTTTTGTCTTCTATATAAGTGAAACCTATACAGCTTGCGACCCATTTTTGACTCTCTACAAGTTTAAAGGGATAATCCAGACGTGGACCCCTTGCTCACGGTGTCTAGAGAGATATCAGCTATGCCTCACTGATGATGCCTAACAAGGCTGAAACGATCGTCTGGGGTTGCTGTATCTCTCGTGCAGAGAGAACTTGCTGGCATTTTGGATCTGGATGGGTGAGACCAGTCTGATATGCTTCAGATATGTTCTCTCTGTAATGGTACAAGATGAGCAAAAATCAGCTTGAGAACTGAGCGGGGACCGACCGAAGGGCAGGCTATTTCAGCTGCTGCCCGTCCTCAGTATTCTCTTGCGACCCATTTTCGACTCTCTATGAAGACTTCACTACTGCACTTCTTGTTATAAAGACTATTCGCAAGGACACTTAAGTTAAACTTTTTACCTATTATATTTATTTATCCCGTTGGACTTTTTACTTGAATTTACTTTATTTTATCCTTCTATAGATGCAGCCTTTTTACTGTTGTTTTAATTGTCTTGTTTTAAAGGGTTTGGAGGGTTTCCCTTTTTAAGGTTGCTGCCTGTTAATTAATTAGCGCTGTCTCTTCTTTTATATAAATGCAGGGAGAGCCTGGGGCAGGGAAATGCAGGGAGAGTCTGGGGGAGGGAAATGCAGGTAGAGCCTGTGGCAGATGGAAGAGCAGGGAGAGCCTCGGGCAGAGAGAAGAGCAGAGAGAGCCTGGAGCCGAGGGAAGAGCAGAGAGATCCTGGGGCAGAGGGAAACGCAGAGAGAGCATGGGGCAGTGGGGAGAGCAGGGAGAGCCCGAGGCAGAGGGACATGCAGGAAGAGCCTTAGGCAGAAGGGAAAGCAGGGAGAGCCTTGGGCAGAGGGAAGAGCAGGGAGAGCCTTGGGCAGAGGGAAGAGCAGGGAAAGCCTGGGGCCAAGGAGAAGCAGAGAGATCCTGGGGCAGAGGGGAGAGCCTGGGGCAGTGTGAAGAGCAGGGAGATCCTGGGGCAGAGGGAAATGTAGGGAGAGCCTGGGGCAGAGGGAAGAGCCTGGGGCAGAGGGGAGAGCAGGGAGAGCCACGGGCAGAGAGACGAGCAGGGAGAGCCTGGGGCCAAGGGAAGAGCAGAGAGAGCATGGGGCAGAGGGAAACACAGAGAGAGCATGGGGCAGAGGGAAACGCAGAGAGAGCATGGGGCAGAGCATGGAGAACCTGGGGCAGAAGAGAAGCAGGGAGAGCCCGGGTCAAAGGAGAAGCAGAGAGAGCCTGAGGCAGAGGGACATGCAGGAAGAACCTTAAGCAGAGGGGAGAGCCTGGGCAGAGGGAAGAGCAGGGAGAGCCTGGGGTAGGGAAACGCAGAGAGAGCCTGTGGCAGGGAAATGCAGGGAGAGCCTGGGGCAGGGAAATGCAGGGAGAGCCTGGGGCAGGGAAATGCAGGGAGAGCCTGGGGCAGGGAAATGCAGGGAGAGTCTGGGGGAGGGAAATGCAGGGAGAGCCTGGGGCAGAGGGGAGAGCCTGGGGCAGAGGGGAGAGCAGGGAGAGCCGGGGCAGAGAAAAACGGATATATTGAAAATATCAGCAACTATGTTCATTACAAAAATTTTGCTAATATGAGGGGTACAATTTATGGAGATGGACTGCCAAGGGGTACTCAAGTAAAAAAAAGGTTGGGAACCACTGCACTAGAGGGCCTTTCCTTCCAGAATCAAGTAGAAGTTCTTCAATCAGGCTATAGGTTTCTTCTAAATTTGAAATTCATTTTGAATTCCCACGTTAGTGATAGAAAGGAGAAACATAGGAATTTTAGGAGTGTCCCTGCTATTCAGGGACACTTTGTTGGTATTGTAATTTCTGCTGTAACATAATTCTGTCATCAGCTGCAGACACAGTATATGGCAATGTAAACTACAGCAAATGCAGTCAGTCAGTCTGAAGAAACATTGTAAACAACAAATACAGGAATAACATAATGGTGTCACATGATGGTGTCACAGTCCAGAGTACTGCAGTTTCAGAGGCAGCCTGTGATTGCTGTAAACTCGTTTGGGGAGGGTCCTCAGCTACCAATGGTTCCTGTGTCATCGTGTAATTGTCTCATTTATTGTAAAATGTCCCCCTTTCATAATATTGTAATTGCTGCGGAATTAGTTGGCGCTATATAAATACCAGTAATAAGTGTGCATTAACCCTTCTTATGCCATAACTGAGGTTATTAAAAGTAAAGTGACCCCTGGAGCACTTACCTGCTGGCCCTGTATAGTATTGCCATTCCCAGAGCACCTGCCTGCTCTCTCTGTATAGTAATATCATTCCCAGAGCACCTACCTGCTCTCTCTGTATAGTAATATCATTCCCAGAGCACCTACCTGCTGTCACTGTATAGTATTGCCATTCCCAGAGCACCTACCTACTCTCTCTGTATAGTATTGCCATTCCCTGAGCACTTACCTACACTCTCTGTATAGTAATCCCATTCCCAGAGCTGGCTGCTTCCCATTACCCGCTGTCTCTGTATAGCAATCCCATTCCCAGAGCTCGCTGCTTCCCATTACCCGCTGTCTCTGTATAGCAATCCCATTCCCAGAGCTGGCTGCTTCCCATTACCCGCTGTCTCTGTATAGCAATCCCATTCCCAGAGCTGGCTGCTTCCCATTACCTGATGTCTCTGTATAGTAATCCCATTCCCAGAGCTGGCTGCTTCCCATTACCCGCTGTCTCTGTATAGTAATCCCATTCCCAGAGCTGGCTGCTTCCCATTACCCGCTGTCTCTGTATAGTAATCCCATTCCCAGAGCTGGCTGCTTCCCATTACCCGCTGTCTCTGTATAGTAATCCCATTCCCAGAGTTGGCTGCTTCCTATTACCCGCTGTCTCTGTATAGTAATCCCATTCCCAGAGCTGGCTGCTTCCCATTACCCGCTGTCTCTGTATAGTAATCCCATTCCCAGAGCTGGCTGCTTCCCATTACCTGCTGTCTCTGTATAGTAATCCCATTCCCAGAGCTGGCTGCTTCCCATTACCTGCTGTCTCTGTATAGTAATCCCATTCCCTGAGCTGGCTGCTTCCTATTACCTGCTGTCTCTGTATAGTAATCCCATTCCCAGAGCTGGCTGCTTCCCATTACCTGCTGTCTCTGTATAGTAATCCCATTCCCAGAGCTGGCTGCTTCCCATTACCTGCTGTCTCTGTATAGTAATCCCATTCCCAGAGCTGGCTGCTTTCCATTACCTGCTGTCTCTGTATAGTAATCCCATTCCCAGAGCTGGCTGCTTCCTATTACCTGCTGTCTCTGTATAGTAATCCCATTCCCAGAGCTGGCTGCTTCCCATTACCTGCTGTCTCTGTATAGTAATCCCATTCCCAGAGCTGGCTGCTTCCCATTACCTGCTGTCTCTGTATAGTAATCCCATTCCCAGAGCTGGCTGCTTCCCATTACCTGCTGTCTCTGTATAGTAATCCCATTCCCAGAGCTGGCCGCTTCCCATTACCTGCTGTCTCTGTATAGCAATCCCATTCCCAGAGCTGGCCGCTTCCCATTACCTGCTGTCTCTGTATAGCAATCCCATTCCCAGAGCTGGCCGCTTCCCATTACCTGCTGTCTCTGTATAGCAATCCCATTCCCAGAGCTGGCCGCTTCCCATTACCTGCTGTCTCTGTATAGTAATCCCATTCCCAGAGCTGGCCGCTTCCCATTACCTGCTGTCTCTGTATAGTAATCCCATTCCCAGAGCTGGCCGCTTCCCATTACCTGCTGTCTCTGTATAGTAATCCCATTCCCAGAGCTGGCTGCTTCCCATTACCCGCTGTCTTCTGTATAGTAATCCCATTCCCAGAGCTGGCTGCTTCCCATTACCCGCTGTCTCTGTATAGTAATCCCATTCCCAGAGCTGGCTGCTTCCCATTACCCGCTGTCTCTGTATAGTGCTCCCATTCCCAGAGCTGGCTGCTTCCCATTACCTGCTGTCTCTGTATAGTGCTCCCATTCCCAGAGCTGGCTGCTTCCCATTACCTGCTGTCTCTGTATAGTAATCCCATTCCCAGAGCTGGCTGCTTCCCATTCCCAGAGCTGGCTGCTTCCCATTACCTGCTGTCTCTGTATAGTAATCCCATTCCCAGAGCTGGCTGCTTCCTATTACCTGGCACTGTATCCCAGGTCACTGCTTGTAGGAGACCCAGTCACGTGGTCACAGTTCAGTGACACAGCCTGCAATGTGGGCGGGGATTCCTTGGCTCCATGGCTGGGTGCTTGCAGTTACCAGGGCAACGGGAATGGGCGGGGCCTGGCTGGCTGCTTCCTACACATGTTTCACAGTCAGACAGGGATTTCAATATCACTATAGACAGATATACCACCACCCTGTCTGTCTGTCTCCCTGCCATGTCTGTCACCCAGCATGCCTGTCTGTCTGTCACCCAGCATGCCTGTCTGTCTGTCTCCCTGCCATGTCTGTCTGTCTGTCTGTCACCCTGCATGCCTGTCTGTCTGTCACCCAGCATGCCTGTCTGTCTGTCTCCCTGCCATGTCTGTCTGTCTTTCTGTCACCCAGCATGCCTGTCTGTCTGTCACCCAGCATGCCTGTCTGTCTGTCTCCCTGCCATGTCTGTCTGTCTGTCTGTCACCCTGCATGCCTGTCTGTCTGTCACCCAGCATGCCTGTCTGTCTGTCTCCCTGCCATGTCTGTCTGTCTTTCTGTCACCCAGCATGTCTGTCTGTCTGTCACCCAGCATGCCTGTCTGTCTGTCTCCCTGCATGCCTGTCTGTCTGTCACCCAGCATGCCTGTCTGTCTGTCTCCCTGCCATGTCCGTCTGTAACCCAGCATGCCTGTCTGTCTGTCACCAAGCATGCCTGTCTGTCTGTCACCCAGCATGCCAGTCTGTCTGTCACCGAGCATGCCTGTCTGTCTGTCACCCAGCATGCCTGTCTGTCTGTCTGTCTCCCTGCCATGTCTGTCTGTCACCCAGCATGCCTGTCTGTCTGTCACCGAGCATGCCTGTCTGTCACCCTGAATGCCTGTCTGTCTGTCTGTCTGTCACCCAGCATGCCTGTCTGTCTGTCTGCCTGCCATGTCTGTTTGTCACCCAGCATGCCTGTCTGTCTGTCACCGAGCATGTCTGTCTGTCTGTCACCCTGCCATGTCTGTCTGTCACCCAGCATGCCTGTCTGTCACCGAGCATGCCTGTCTGTCTGTCACCCTGCCATGTCTGTCTGTCACCCAGCATGCCTGTCTGTTTGTCTGTCACCGAGCATGCCTGTCTGTCACCCTGTATGTCTGTCACATATATGTCTGTTTGTCATACTGCATGTCTCTCTGTCACCGAGCATGCCTGTCTGTCTGTCTGTCTGAAATTTTTTGCATTTTTCACACACAAATGGCACTTACACTGACGATATAATTGTTGTGTTAAGTTTTACTCTTTTGAAACACTAATATTTGTGTTCAGCGAAGTCTCCCGAGTATAACAGTACCCCTCATGTACAGGTTTTATGGTGTTTTCAAAGGTTACAGGGTCAAATATAAGGCTTGCGTCAGTTTTTTCACATAAACATTCGCCAGGTTGGTTATGTTGCCTTTGAGACCGTACGATAGCCCAGGAATGAAAATTACTCCCATGATGGCATACCATCTGCATTAGCAGACAACCCAGGGTATTGCAAATCGGGTATGTTCAGCCTTTTTTAGTAGCCACTTAGTCACTAACACTGGCCAAAATTGGTGTTCAAATTAGTTTTTTGCATTTTCAAATATTAACACTAACTTTGGCTAGTGTTTGTGACCAAGTGGCTACTGGACATACCCCATTTGCAATACTTTGGGTTGTCTACTTTTGCAAATGGTATGCCATCATGGGGGTAATTCTTATTCCTACGCTATAATATGGTCTCAAAGGCAACGTAACCAATCTGGAGAATTTCAATGTGAAAAAAATGAAAAATGTAACATGCTATATTTGACCCTGTAACTTCCCAAAACACCATCAAACCTGTTTTACATGCGAGACATCGCTGAATACAAATATGTGTATTTTATTGCAGTAAAAGCAAACAGTATTTTGACATTCACAGTTAATATGTCACGTAGAACTAAGAAAATGTAAAAAATATTATTTTCTCCCATTTTTTAAATATTTTATTCATATTAAATTATGTTCCATACTGTTACAGGCACTCTACAGATCGTTCCTGGATTACCCTGTTTATTTCACCGTATACCCTGTTTCGGTAGTTATACTGTATAAATCTCATTCCACAAACAGCCAGGACTATGTATTCGTGCATCCGAACGACGGACCACCCGGCCCTTGGCGTGTGCCGCCTCTTAACCTTTTTCACCTTTAAAACAACCGAATGACCGACCACCCTACGAGCGGAGTATGCTTCTAACTGACCACCGGAGAGCTGCGGGCTGCGGTTAACTGCAGCCTAACTGACTGTCTCAGGGTGGCCTTGTTCGTGTAATAATTCACCAAACTGAAACTCACGAAAGACTCCCGAACGAGGACCACCTATATCCTGGCGTGTGGCCCCAATTAGAACATTGAGTCTGCAGTTAACCGCAAGTTAAGTACCCCCTTCATGGCGGTCTCTGTTCTGCTCACAAAGGGCTGGGACAACCATCCTCTGAGCGGTGTTCGCGCATGGGTTTTAGGTCCAGGTCCCGCTCTCTATTCACCAACCTGAAAACATGGCGGCCATCCCTTGTTCGGAACAAAAAGGCACGAAAGGACTTTGTATTGAAGAGACTGGCTATACCGTTCATGAGATCTAAACGCTATTCGCCTATCTGCTGAGCTCAGATCTGGGCTATCTAACGAATGGTGGAATGCAAGATGTGTCTATTAAAATGTTATAGTTATATATTTTTATACTGTTTTATATGTTACAATAAAACGTGGGATTTTGGGCGCTTGGAGATAATTAAATTGCTATAACCGTTAGAGTCATTATCTCCAAGCTGGTCAGTGACCATTAAACTGTAAAGCCATTGGTCAACTGTTTGTATTGTCCCTGTATCCCATCAGGTCCAGAGGACCTGGGGTTTTGCATAAATAGCGATGCCTGTGTGCCATTAAAACCCAGTTCGTTTTGACCCTCAAATCGCAGCCTCGACTCGTTTTGTGGGAACAAGGGTATCCTAGCTGTACCATAGCTAGTGGGATTGCTTTATATTCACAGGATTCTCGTGGTATGCTGAACGGATCGGCGCTTCTCTCTCTCCACATTCGGGAACCAGAACATCCAAGCAGTTCAGCTAGCTTGGAGGTAACCGTAACACATACCTAAATATTTGATATTAAATGAAAGCCCTGTTTCCCCTGAATAAAATGATATATAATAAGTGTGGGTGCATTTAATATGAAAGAGGCGAATTACGGTTGGACAGACATATAGCGCAAATGCCAGGTTTTGTTGACGTTTTGTTTTGATCAGAACTTGTACATTTGGCTCCGTCCTTAAGGGGTTAAAACTTCCCTATATTAAATCATTGTACAACACTTTTTTATGGGGAATTTGAAGACGTTAGATGTCCTAATGCACAACGTAAGACATTTCATGGAGTAAAACATCATTAGGCTATAGGAAGTGACTCTAGTGGCTGTCTGGAAGACTAAGCTCTGCAATGTAAAATATTGCAGTTTCTCTTTTACATTGCAGGGTTAAGGGGACAGGGGCAATGCACCAAGACCACATCAATGAGATTAAAGTGGTCCCTTTAAGGCTACATACTATTTGATGTGCTATTTGCCCTTTCAAAAAGCCTTTATACAGGTGACACGCGTTAGTGTGTTATTAATATTTTAAGCTACTATTTGATGTTATCAATTTGTTTATTAATAAAACTAGTTTTTTTTAAATTGATTTCTGGACCTTCTTATCTGCATCCCTGAGGATTTTACTTGGAGGACCCATATTCCTTGGTGGGGAACATACCACCTATGCCGTTTAGGATTGAGCAATACTTATTTGCTCTTCCTTTTGTGAGTATATCTTCTTTTATTTATTTATTATTTTAACATAACAGAAAGCACAATTTTTTTGTGAAATATTTTTTTCTTGGAGCACTTTCTAATGACATACCAGAATACATCGAATGTGAGCACCGCTACTACCGCTGATGACCTTACAACGCTAACCACTGGCCTAAAGACACCACGTTATATAGAACCAGGACCATCTACATATCCACAGACGGGGATTGTACCGTCCAGGCGCAGTGATCTGGAGCTGATCTTTTTTATTTGCCATATTTGATACCCTAAAATACTACACTATATTTGGGTTTTGTCCATTCTATTTTTCATATTGCTCCATTGGAACTAAGGACTAAAGTTGAAAGCGCTGCTTCCCGTCATTCTCTTATTTATTCAAATCTATGAAAAGAAGGAACAGACTCTGGTTCAGAAAGTTCGAGCTGCTACAGGTACAAAAAGCAAGCGCCAGAAATCTCTCTCTTTTCCACACTTCTTTTTAAAGCCAGTTTTATGAGAGGAGATTCACTGAGTGAATGAGAGCAGCAGCTGACTGCAGGGCAGAGAGGCAGGGAGATTCAGTGCTGGAACAAAGAATTTTGGGTTAAATCATTCGAGAACGGCATAACCCTTTAAGGTGAGCTAGCTCCAGGGATGTCCTGACTCCATAACAATTTCATTTTGTTGAAGTTGTTATGTTGTCTAAAGTTTACTATTCCTTTAAATTGTGCAGGTGTTTCTGCTCACAATATGGGGATATATATTTATATTGTTATACAGACTGCTTGCAAAGTACTTGCAATTTTATGTCTCTCTCTTATTTTTCAGATGCTGAAACAAAATAGAGATTGAAGAATTATCTCAGTCGTGATCCTCTTTCTTTTTTGTTCCCCCCTCCATGGTGTCACTCATAGGGTACTTTGCTTATATTTTCCTTTTGATGTTTCATTGATCTTTCTGTCCCTTTTATTTCTCTATCTTTCCTGTATTTCTGTGGGCACTCCCCCTCTCTATCATGGGTTAGCTGGGGGTTGGGGAGGGTGCTTACTGTGTGGGGGCACCTCTGGGTAATACAAATAATTATCTATTAACACACACACATAATATCACGAGGATGACACAATAGGCAAGTTGAAGTAATATTTATTATTCTAGAATGCATTAAAGTATTTTACATTGGTAATTACAGAAACAAAATCTTCCTGGCCCCAACCTAACAGACTACTGAACTATTTCTTTGCCCAGTAGATGATCAATAGCTGGTTTGATCTATCCTGGTATTA